TGAAAAAAAGGCAAACGAACGCATTTATATAAAGAAAAACTAAGGGCCGTGGTCGAATTTAATAAAAGTATAAAATGCGTTGAGTCTAATTACTGTAGGAGTCGAAGTGAGCGCAAAGGAGCAAAAATGATTTGTTTGGCAAGATCAAGTAAACAAAATAACGTCGTATTGGTTAAGGGTGATGAAAGCTAAAACTGAAGCATCGGTTTATTTAGAAGTATTAAAAAAAAAGAAAGATCGACCATTAACATCGATCCAAATGAAATAGTAGTCGAGAACTTGGCCAACATTAACAAAGAGAAGGACGTAAGGAAGCTACTTAAAAGTCACTACGGCGAAGAATATGATAATGAAAATTCTTACTCGATAATGAAAACGACGAAGAAATCTTTAGTACGACGAAGAAGAGTAAAGAGTTTTGTTATTAATAATTATTTTAATGTATTAAGTACTGTTATTAAATATTTGTGTTTTTACTACAAAATAACCAATCTCTTGGCCTGTTCATTTTAAAATAGCCAACCAATATCCACTTCTTAGTTGCAAAATAGCCAATCTCCAAATATTTTTCTTTAGTTATAAGAGTATTTTAATAACAATTAAGAAACTAGCAACGAAAAACTAATTTTAAGCGATCAAAGTTTATGGATAACGAATTTTGTGGCTCACTTCTGTGTGAAGTTTTACAAATATATTCACTGTAAAATATTACGATTTACGGCAATTTTACCAGGGTGGAGATTGGTTGTTTTGCAAATAAAGGTCTTAAATAATGTTTTGAAATGTTTTTAAATAATGATGTTTCTAATAAGTTATCTTTTTGTTTGTATCTTTACGCCCGTACAGGCCATAAAGTATACTATTACGTAGTTGGTAACTTAGCAATAAAAACACACTAATAAACTAGTATGACATAATAGTATATTACATAACGAGAGTTGTAAGAAGCTTATTACATGCGAGTAAAAAAGTTGCGCGCGAGCCGCGTAGCGGCGAGCGCAGTAATTTTACAAGCATGTAATAAGCTTACAACTCAAGTTGTGTCCCATACTTTTTCTACGATTACTTTCGTTTAGAAAAATAAAAAATTAAATTACCACTATATTTACACTGACAGATTAATAATTTTTAATCTGTCAAAATAACGTCTGTTAATTCGTTTCCATGGTAACTCGACCAACTGACTTCGAGGCTTATGTGATATTACACATTTTTATAAAACTGAAGCGTAATTTTTTTTATTACGTGCTAGTCATTACGTGTCAGTATCTGTTATGATGCATTTACTTAGCATCCAAAGAATAGGTAATATACAATTTACTAGTAAGAGAGTAGAAAAAAATAATTATATACACATTATTCTATAAAAATTCTTTAATTACTTGAGAGAACAAAACAAGAATAAAATACAAACATTATTACTAATACTTACATATTTAAAAACTAAGAACCAATTTAGGAAAGAAAAATAAATACAATGATTAACAAGCAACATTCATTAATTGTACTTGCAACAAACACAATCCCCAATGACAACCCACAATGAAACCCAATCTTATTAAAACAAGTAGCAAAACTCTACTAAGTTTAAATAATTTAATAGGCAAGCAAAACTTTACTTTTATGGCTTCTTGGGCGTCTTACCGTAATTCTGTTTATTCCCAGTGCATATACTGTAATGTCATGTTCTGGCCTTACAGTATAGTAAAATTCGAGGAAAGCGAAATGTGGGAAGACGAAGAATATCGTGGCTTAAGAACTTAAGGGAATGATTTGAATGCAGCAGTGCAGAACTATTTAGAGCGGCAGTCAACAGGGTCCGAATAGCCTTGATGTTTTCTAACTTCGAGAGAAGAAGAAATTTAAAGCCTAAGTGTGCCGATGTACATTTGGTATCAGTTGCTTGTCCTGTGATATCAGGTACCACAGGTACTAAGTGACATAGAAAGCCGAATACAAAATTTTATTAAAATAAAATTATTTAAACTGGGTGTTCGGATTTCTATGTCACGTAGTATATATTAGAAGGTGAATTATCTTTACAAATAGTAGAAGCAAATTGCCAATTAGACTAATAGTACTGTAATTCAATGCACTGTTTCACAAGAGTTTTTTTCTTTAATAATATAAAAAACATTATTTTAAGTCAATTTGCAATATGAGAACTGTTTTATTAATAGATATGAATATGTAACAATAAAACACTTAAATCTTTTCTTCAAAACTTTCACAAAATTTCTTATAAAGTCTTATCACTACAGCCGTTCTCAAATGATCTATTTTTGGCATGCGTTTACACTTTATAGTCTTTAATAAAATAGGTTAAGAACTGTTTGTCTCAAGTTGGTCATTAAGAATTATGCCTGTGTTTTTTAATTTGTTAATCTTTAGTTGACAAACAGCAACAAAGATAACTTAAGGACTTTATTTTGAATGTGAAGAATATGAAATTTGTCATTAAAAGAATGATTTTGGTCTAGAAGGTGAAGTGCGTATGTAGAAGCTGTTTTTCTATTATTGTAAGCCCTTTTATATTCTGCTATTCGTTTATTAAAATTTATATAAAATTGAATGCTCGAATAACTAAACTTTGATCAATTTTGGCGTTTCATCAATTTTAGTCTATCCAATAATTAGAGAATGTCATGCACATAAAATTGTACATCACACTACACAAGGACAAACAGTTTTAACTTAAAAAAATTGTTTGTCCTCCTGTAGTGTAGTGTAATGTACAATTTTTGATTGTTGGATAGGCCAAAATTTACCATATGCCCCTGAAGATGCTCTAGGAAGTGAAAATACTTGGGCAAATACTAGGGCAAGATTTAATTAATAAACCACCACTGTGTAAGTGTATTTTATTTTGGCTTTTGTTGTTTTTTATTATATTTGCCTAAGCTGTTGTGTGTTCTGAAAGCTGGTATTATTCCTTTCTTTTTTATGTGTTTGGCTATTTTTGTTGATATTTTGCCTGTATATATAATCGAGCAGAAGGTACTGGGTTTTTTCTCTGCTAGTGGAAATACTAATTTTAGGGTTTTCTTGTGTAATTTTTTATTTAAAATTTTATTAATTATTTGTTCGTTGTATCCATTGTTTACTGCTATTTGCCTAATGATATTTAATTCTGTCTCTAAGTTGTATGACATCGGAATCTCTGTTGATTTATATAACATGCTATGATAGGCTGCCAGTTTATGTTGTATGGAATAAGATGATGAATTGTGACTAGTCGTGTCAGTATGGGTAGGTTTATGAAATATGGAGAAGTCATGTTTGATTTTACGTCTGGTAATTTTTATATCTAAAAAATGTATGCATTGATTTTGTTCTGTTTCTATTGTAAATTCAATATGACTATGAAGTGAATTAATATACGTTAAAAATTGGTCGAGTTGATTGTTAGTTCCTGGGAAACATACCAATACATCATCTACGTATCTTCACCAATATAAAAACTGTTTGAGTATGGGATGTTTCGTGATCTTTGTCTCTAGATGATCCATAAAAATATGTGATAGCAATGTGCTTAGAGGATTGCCCATACATAAAATGAATTTCCATCAAGTAACGGTCGAATACATCAAACATATGAATATTCTTGTTATTTGTTAAGTACTTTATTATTAAATAGTTGATTGTACTGTAATATTAAATAGATAAAAATGTACGTAAAATTATCAGATGCTGCTTATGGCGATGGTCCTCAGCTTTCAGTTGATGTATCGAATTGTGCATTTACGACTCTGTAATGGGTGGTTCAGTTTTCATGAGATGATTTGGTTGTTGCAATAGTCTTTTGTCAGTATAAAATCGCTCCGTTACATATTTCTTCCAAGTTTTTAGGTTATAAATTTTTTATTAAAAAACCTTTATAAAAGGTATATATTTAAAAACTCACTCAAACTCAACCCACACTCACCTTCAACGTGGAGTCATATGTCGCCATGTTACCTTATCCAACGGTAATTTCAACATCCTGACATATAAGAAATATCGTATACCAAATCTAATTAATTATTTGTTAACGGGTTTTTACCCATATATTTAGTGGCTACATTCATGTATTCCTAGACACTGATGATGGAATATAGATTCCGAAAACGTTTTGTTTAATTAGCCCGTTAGGGTTTTTAAATATATACCTTTTATAAAGGTTTTTAAATATAAAAATTTTTAATATATGGTATACAGCCAACTACAGGAACGTAGATTCCTTGTGGATTTCTAAAATTCCTTGTGGATTTCTAAATTTTGTTTACTATTATTCTTTTTGTAGTCTACCCATGTTGTTATCTCTGCAAATGCCGGATAGTTATTGATACTTATTCTTGCGCAGACTGAAATCATATATCCTTATTTTTGAATTATCTTCTTGTATTCATTAATTCTGGAATTTTCTTCTTTTAAATGTGCCTATCTTCTAGAGAAGTTGGCGACCACATTGGCCCATTTTATTCTATTCACAGCAGCTCTAAATAGATCAGTTGACGTTAGATCAGTCCATTTCCTAAGATTGGCCAGCCAGGATATACGTCTACGTCCAGAGGCTCTCTTATCCTCAATCTTGCCCTGCAGAATTAATTGTAGAAGTCGGTATTTATCATTACGCATGATGTGACCGAAGTAAGCCAATTTTCTGTTTTTTATGGTGTATAATTTCTTTATCTTTTCTAAGCCTCTGGAGAATAGTTATGTTACTTGTGTAGTATATACGTATATGAGACCCTCAACAAGCGTCGGTAGCATCACATTTCAAATGCCTTCAAAAGTTTTAAGGCATCTTCTGTAAAGCTCCAACTTTTTACTCCATAAAGGACACTAAAGATGTAATATTTTATAATTTTTGTGTTTGGAATTTTCTAATATTTTTTTTATAGTGAACCTATAATAACAACAAATAAAAAAAACAATAAAAAAAAGAATAAAAACGTAAATAAATCATTGAAAAAAATCACTCAAAAAAGAAAATAATTCTTAATGTTCTTTGTACTTACTGCGCCGCTGCCTCCCGCTACTGTCTCATAACAACCCCAAGTTTCATCTCCAAACGTAATGTTGTTCATGCATCCTTGCGAAGCTGCACAAACTCTGAATGCCTTAAGAACAACATCGACTATCCGTTGAGAGGTTAACACGTTTCCACCGACCACTGCAGCATTATCACTTGGATCGAGAATAGAACCTTTTGGAATGTTTATTTTTACTGGAGCAAGGCATCCCTGCAACATAAGTTTAAACACATTATTTTTCTACGAAAATGTCTACTACTAAAATTAGACAATACCAAACATTTAAAATGTATAGAACTAAATCGTACCAGTCTCGGATAAAATAATATTACTCCAAATTAATACTCAACCATTTAAAACTAACATACTTCAAATCTATGCCCCGACTGCAGATATAAAATATGACGAGAAGTTGTATGATCACATCCAAGACATCTTACAAAAACTTAATAAACACGAAATTTTATATATTATAGGCGACATCAATCCAAAAATTGGGGAAGGTCGACGAGGTCAGAATGTAGGTCCTTATGGTTTAGGACAACCTAACGATCGAGGAAAGAGATTGTATAACATCTGTAAAGAAAACGATATGATCATTGCAAACACTTAATATAAACTACCCAAGCGACGACTATACGCTTGGAAAGCCCTATTTGGTGATGGCAATAACCCTGAGTCTTCAAGAAATCAAATAGACTATATACTTATAAATAAGTTTCCAAAATGCCGTCAAAAAAGTCACTACATATCCTGGGGCAAATATTGGATCTCATCATCAACCACTCGTAACAGATATTAAACTAAAGTTAAAACGAATTCAGCGACAAAAACCAAAAACCAATGTACTTTACTTTGAAAAACATCGGAGAACAAAAGATCCAGAAAAACTATGGAGTGAATTTAAAAACCAAGTTAACGAAATCTCCACAAACAATGATTATAGAAAAATCTTAATCAAGAAAAATAACTGGATGACAGACGACATATTGAAATTAATGGAACAACGTCGACTGATAAAATCTAATGTAACAAAATACAGACACCTGCAGAGAAGAATAAAAAAGGAGATCAAATTAGCCAAAGAAAAATGGGTGAGAGAAAGGTGCGACGAAATGGAAGACGTAATGTCTAAACACGACTTATTTAATGTGCACAAAAAACTAAAAGAAATGAGTAATATATTTAAAAAACGAGTTTCCTCTGTACTTGTTGACACTAATAACAAAATTATTGTAAATGAGCAAGAACTAAGAAAAGAATAGCAGCTGTATATATCAGAGTTGTTTGAAGATGATAGGAATATATTGCCGAATTCTACCAAAACTGTACTGGCGGCCCAGAAATTATGACATGCGAAGTAGAACATGCTATAAATAATGCTAAAATTAGAAAAGCTTGTGGTCTAGATGATACACCAACTGAGTTGCTGAAACTAATAGAGAATGATAACATAGAAGTAGTAGTAAGACTTTTTAATTCAATATATAACACCGGAGTGATTCCCGCAGATTGGCTCAAATCCATCTTTATCGCAATACCTAAAAAACACAATGCGAGAAAATGTTTAGAATATCGATTAATTCGCCTTATGATCCACACTCTTAAAGTTTTCCTCAGAAAACTTCACAACAGAATAAGATGCAAATGCGAAGAAGATCTTGGAGATACCCAATTTGGTTTTAGAAATGCTATGGGAACCAGGGAGGTAGTTTTTGCGCTTAATATCCTAGTACAAAAATGCCGTGACCAATGAAAAGATGTATTTGCATGTTTCGTGGACTTCGAAAAAGCATTCGATAAAGTACAGCATTTAAAATTAATGCAAATAATAAAAAATATCGGAATAGATGACAAATATATTCGTGTCATTAAAAATTTGTACTGGAATCAAACTGCTATGGTAAAAATTGGAGATAACTCATCGATGAAATCCCCATATAACGAGAAGTCAGACAAGGTTGCATTTTGTTGCCAACATTGTTTAATGTTTACTCGGACCAGTTATTTAAAAAGGCACTTGAAAGACAACCATATAGAATAAAAATCAACGTGAAACTACTTAATGTGATTAGATATGCAGACGATACAGTAATTCTATCAGATAATATTGAAGGTCTTCAAATTCTGCTTGATAGTATTCACAAGGTAGGAAAGGAAATGGGTAATTAAATTAACTCAAACAAAACCAAATTTTATTGTTTAGTCGTGACCCACATCCCGATGCAAAGCTTCAATTGAACGGAGTCCAAGTTGAGAAAGTTCACAAAATGACATCTTTGGTAACTGTGATAACGAACCAACTAGATCCAGATATAGAAATAAAACGTAGAATAGCAATGACTAAAACTACTTTTATGAAAATAAAGTCATTTCTTTGCAATAACCATCTCAGTTTAGAACTAAGGAAAAGAATGGTTAAGTGCTATGTTTGGTATGTACTTTTGAATAGTGCAGAAGTTTGGACGCTAAAAGTATCGATCATGAACAAAATTGAAGCATTGGAAATGTGGGTTCATAGACGAATGCTGAAGATACCTTGGACAGCAAGAAAGACTAATGAAGAAGTACTAAGAAGCGTCAACAAAGACAGAGAACTGATAAAGACTTTTAAACATCGAAAAATGTCTTATCTGGGACATATAGTAAGGAGAAGTCGATATAAAATTTTACAACTGATCCTTAAAGGCAAAATAGAAGGCCGTAGAGGTATAGGAAGAAAACCAGTTTCTTGGTTAAAAAACATTCGTGAATGGACTTAAATACCAAATGCAGGACAATTACTCCATATTGCAGAAGATCGAGAAGCCTTCGCAATGGTGATCGCCAACGTCGGATAATTCTGATATGGCACGCGAAGAAGAAGGACTCAATCAAAACAATTTGTGTAATTTACACCTACAAATAAAAGCCAAATAAAGTTGGCCGTCTTTTTTTTTATTTCAAGTTAAACCAGATTTTGAACATGTGTTCACATTTACAATACTTTATGAATATAGTGGTTAAGTTAGGATATACATGGCGATGGTTTTTTCCACCGTTGTAATGGACTCTCGATACAGGTGTACGTGTAGATGAGCCATCTCCAATTAATTGATCAAAAATACACCATGAATTTAAGTCATCTTTATTGGTTTCTTTTTCTTGTACTGGTTGATTTTCAATAGTACAATCTTCTTGTTCGTTAATTATAGAAGTAACCAGCTTCTTAACTTTTTCTTTTATTTTTTTATCTTCATTTTATCAGAAAAACCCTGCACTTTAAATGGTGAATCCATAAAAGTACATAATGACAATGTGCCACTCTGTTCTATCCCTTTAAATCTTTTTGCTAAACCTGATATTAGTAATTGTACTACGTCGGATATTATGGATGTAAGGTTACCGTTTGCTAAAATTTTACTATAACACCATTGTACCATAACAATCACTGAACTACCCTTCAAGTATTTTTGGTCACTCATTGTACTTGTTATTTCTTTAAACGGCCGTAAAATTTGGGAAAGCTGAGAACAAATAATCCAGTGTTCTATATTTAGATTTGGTCTAAGTCTAAGTCTGTATTATTTAATACCGTTGTTTAACGGATTGCCTTTTCTAATTCGCTCATTCTTTTTAACATGTAATAGGTGAAGTTCTACCTAGTTTCCACGTCATGGATTGGCCGTTTGGGAACTTTGTTATGTTGTAATTAATACTTTAAAAGCCTTTCTGAAAATAAGGTACTTTTTTAAAAGTGTTTTTTGCAGAATTGTCGAAAAAAGGACTTTTTATTTTATCTAGTATCAAATCAGTTTTGACATAACATTCCTGAAGTAATGAACCTGACAGTTTTTCTTGTTGGCGGTTTATATCCAGGAATCCACCCTGCAAACTTTTTAAAAGCTGGTTCTTCACCTATGGAAAACGGATGAAACGAGTCTTTGCATAAGTTTAGTAAATCTTGAAAATCAACCAGTACAAGAAAAAGAAACTGATAAAGATGACTTAAGTCCATGGTGTATTTTTAATGAATTAATTGGACATGACTCATCTAAACATACACCTGTATCGAGAGATATAAAAGAAGTCGATGTATTTGTCTGATGATATATTACCCACAAAAAATTTTGAACGAAGACTGGAACTGTCCATTACCGTGGTGAAAAAACCATCGCCATGTATATCCTAACTTAACCACTTTATTCATAAAATTTTCTAATTCTAGTATTTTAACAAAATATTTTCCTTGTGAACACATGTTTAAAATCTGGTTTAATTTTAAATAAAAGAAGAACACGGTTAACAAGAAAAGTGAAAAAACTTGTTTTTAAATGTCAATTTAGACGATTCGCGATTTTATAATGTGTAATGTAAATGTAAGTACTATTTGTATTGTTTAATTTATTTTTCAAGTTATAATAAATATATCATTCGTTAGGTTCTTTCACTTTAATACTTATACACATAAACGATAATAGCCAATATGTTTGTGTACTCGCTAATTTGAATACTGGTAAACAGTGAACAGTTACAGTTTACGAAAAACGGTTCCGATAGAAATTTAAAAAACGAGAGGACCCACCTCTAGTTTTTTAGGTATATTAGGATCGGGACCAGAGAATACGTAAAATATCTCTGATTGGAAATATTCGTCTCACTAATGGGCAATGAGTGTTAAAAATATTTATGGAGGGGAGACCAAGGGGAAATATGATTGTTATTTTTATCTATTCGCTGAAAATATGATTTTATATCTGCTAGATATCCTGTTAAATTTTACCCTACCGATCATAAACTTTTACCTACACTGTATATATTTTAATAATATTAATAGCTAGATAAAATGTATATCCTTACTGATAGTAACCTCCGAGTTTTTGGTGCATCAACTTATGTGATTATGAGCTCTACTCGATATTACAAAGATTTTTTTGTTTTTTTTACGTTGTTGGATACATAAATATATAAATTGATTTTGACATACACATATTTTTATTTAGATTTTGTTTAGCAGAAAATGGTTGACTTCAATTGGTGCGGTCGTAAATATTATTAAACTTATCTGACTCGGTTTGTTGTTAAGACCTTGTACCTGAGGTAAACTATCGTTACCTGAAGCCAGGTCTTTTATACTATTATCGGTTTACCCAGGATGTTTATATTCGGTACTAATTGAAGGCAACCATTTACTGGTAAAGAAATTTTCATACATTTTTACCTACAGTTTG